CCTCTTTCCCAGCTGCTGGCGTTTTACAGATCCTGCCCAAAAGCCAGATCAAAGGCTGCCACATCCTCGCCAATCTCTTGGCATCCATGGCGTGCACATGCTGTACTTTATCCTCCGGCACTTGGTGTCCTGGCGTCTGGGAAAGTCCTTCTGTGTCTGCTTTGCAGAAGGTGAGCGACTGAGAAATATAGGCACGAGCTGCAAAAAAGATGCTGAGAAAGACTTATAGGCAAAAGGATTTATTTGCAGCTATGCATACACAGAAAGAGCATTAGATAGAGAATTGCGTTGTCTCCTCAGAGGCTGGAAAATGATCCATTTTAACGGCTTCTAAGGATCGTCTTCCTTGTTACAGGTGTTTAAATCCCTTTCTCAGTACATGTGCACGCACTGGCTGCCGCCCAGGCTGTGCTATTTGAGTCCCTGCTGCATTCAGACAACGAAACCTCCACAAAACTTGAACAACAGCCCCAAGAGTTCCCAAAACAGAAGGACAGAGTTGCTGCAGAACGCTTCCAAAAGAGAAGGAGAACCAGAAAACCAAAACAAAATCCAAGCCTAAAAAATTAAAATGAAACAACATCAGCCACCAAAAAATGCAGCCAGCAGCACAAAAAGGAAGCCATGCTGTGCCCTCACCAACTCCTACTCTGTAATTAAGTGAAAACGCTGAAGGTTTGGTATTTTTAAAACTGTTCTCTGGTTTCCTCAGGGAAAGAAAAAAAAAGAAAAAGAAAAAAAAAGAAAAAGAAAAAGAAAAAAAAAAGCCTTGTGTTCTTTTCCTGAGTAAACAGACAGCAGAAGTTCAGGGGATTATTTCTCCCAGCTCAGCCAGAGCTGGGAGATGCTTTTCCTGTGTTATTTTTTTCCCTCTGTGACTTCTAATTTTGTCACCAGTTGCACGGTTCCTCGTGAGGCCAGAAACTCCATGTGGCATATGAAAGGGATATTTCAGCTTTAGCTGAGCCGGAGGAAAAAGCCTTGGTGTGTTGCATGAGAAACCACTCGAAATTAAATGGCAAGGAGGAAAGCGTTGTCCTTTAATCATTTTACGGCTTCTGGTCCTGAGGAGTGGCCTATGCTGGGGAATTTTCCTATTCAATTGGTTAGAGTAAGGAAAAACAGATTTTTTTTTCTTTTGTAGATGATTTTATTAAGAGCGACAAATAAAGAACTTTTCCTCAGGAAAATGGGAGGGGAATGGTATTTTGTTTTGTTTGTCAGAATCTCAGCCTCCAAAATACTCTGACCAAGAACCAAATGTGGCTGTGGAGCGCCATGGACACTGGTTCTCAGACGTTCCTGTCCTCCTCCATAGGCTAGACCCACAGGTTAGATAGCATTGCCCATGATGCACTACAGCCACACATGAAAATGAAGACAGCAGCATCCTGGGGAATGTAGTTCAACTTTGGAACCTGCCCGTTGAGGAAACGGATGAATTTTCCATTGCCGGAAACGACTATGTCAGCATCTCTGCATAAAGGCATATTGGTGCTTGGCCAAAACACTTTTTTTTTCATAAATTAAATCTCTGAAAAATATATATCTAAATTTTGTGCTAAAATCAGGAAGACTGCCCCAAATGATCATTGACTAAGCAATTTTCCAACGATAAAATGTTTCGGTGGAAAAGTTTGAAGACCTGCCCATGCCATTCTTAATTACTTTAAGGACACCTTGTTTACTTTGTCCTGCAGCCCCTACTGTGTTACCCGAGTACTGGGGTTATTCTCTTAAAAAATGTGTAGACCAGTCTTAATTACACAAAATGTGAACACGAAGGGAAGTTTTGTTCTCTAAAGAAGACGGGAGAAGAGTGAAAGTGCTGGGGTAGGGGAAGAGACTGTCTCTGAATCTGCATCCTATGCCTGTTGTGAACCACTGACTTGCACTGATGCTTTCATTTGAAAGTCCTAAGAAGGATTTGGCTGAACAGAGAGGATGGGAAATGGACAGGAATGGAGAAAACACATGGAAGCCATTGGCTAATTCAACCTCTTTTTCCATGATTGGAGATCTGATGCTCAGCAGTTGCATACAAGCTAGTATCTCATCTACCTTCCCAGGCTGAACTGGGTTTAAGCCACTATGGTTTCACGGTAGGCACCCTGTAATACTGAGCGGTGCTTTGAGGTCCTACACAACTATTTTGTGGAGAACTGAGAATATCTCCTGGAGTCCCACAGAGCTGTGAGAGAGCAGCGACTCGTCCCATGGTTCCTCCTGGTATATGGGGGATAGAAACACGGAGACGAAGGCCTTGGGGTTTCCTGTTCTTTGCATGATTGCGCTGTACCAGACACTGTGAAAGAGAAGACCAGCGGGAGACACTGCACCTATGGTCACTGCTTCTTTCACATGAACGATCTCTATTCAGGTGGCTTATGCAAATACCTTTAAAGAGGTCCCAGGGCATCAGGGACATGTACAAAGACCTGCCAGATATGTCATGGTATCTTCTGGAAGGGCATCATGGAGATCAGGATAACCCCTTCAAATGGATAAAAATTGGGAAGGGAGTCAGAGACCTGAAGGCTCTTACTTAAGGGCTCACCAAGAAGGACACTAGCAGAGAGGAAAAAATGTCTTAGTCTCAGGGACTTTCCTGTTGACCTGGTGCCTCTCCGAAGATGTATTCTGGATTTACATTGGTGTCAGCAAGATCAGAGTCCAGCTTTAAAGACTCATCTTGCTCCTCTGAGTCATATTTTACTTAAAAAAAATCCTTTTTTTTTCAACAGGTGTGTCAACACATCAAAACATGTCTCTGTTTCATGGACACAACAGCTGCTAGAAGATATTGAGAAATGAAATGTTGAACCGGGAAAACATTATTTACATTTAGCAAGGTGTAGCAATATTGCAACATACCTTAGAGAAGAATAAGACAAGAACATCAATGGACAGATACTTGAACCTATATGGACCAAAACTCATTAAGGTCAGAACCAGTGATTTTTTTTTTTTTCCCTTAAAAAAACAGTGGAAATAGCAAGTTTATTTCAAAACAGCTTATACTCTTTGTGTTTCTAGTAACTTTAATATCCACTAGGATCCATTATTCCAGAGCGTAAGAGCTGCAAAGGGAACTTGACTAAAAGGAAGAGCTGTTTCCATTGTTATCTTTGGGAAACATCAGAGATACCAGAAAAAAATGCTGAAGATTATTTTTTAAATAACTGTATAATTGAATGAAAATTGGAAATTTTCTCATAGAAAAAGGTATTTAAAAGGCAGAATTTTACCATTCAAAGTCTTAATCATCTTATTCTACCTCCTCCTCCTTTTAAAATTATTTCTGTTTTTATTTCCAAAGGGAAGGAAATCATCATACATCTATTTGTGTATTTGTAGACAGTCAATACAGATATATGTATTTACAGATAGAGAAGCACGTGTCTGTGAGTGGGCCAGCATACGTATTTAGACACACAGAAATATATATCTATATACATGTATGCTCTTCCATGTATATGCCTGTGTATGTGTAGAGTTTTAATCGGATGAACTCCAGGCATGTTCTCTTGCCACCTGATATGGACCAATATGTAATACATAATGTAAGACTAGGCACACAATAAGGAGAAGGGTAATTCAGTGTAATATTACTTGGCTAAATATGGCATATTATATATACAATAAATGCATTTTTTGAATTAAGGCGTATATATATTTTTATCAAGGAACTTTGTACGTAGAAGTAAATATATGTAGACATCTATCTGGAAATACCTCTCTGCATCTGACTGTTTAAGTGCATAGGCATTATTTTGCACGTCCATGTTTATCAGATGTGCTTGCATGTACATTTGTATGTATGATAAGATAACCCTGCTTGGATACAAGTCTTTGTGCATGACCTCCAAGACGGGACCAAATCCCCGCTTCGCTATCCAGGCTGACACATAAGCCAAAACCCCATGCTTCAGATACAGATAAGCCTTTCTGGAAGGACTGAGAAAGGCACTTAAGTAGTGCAGTGAACCAGATCAGGCCTTTTTAAGAGGAAAACATTGCATTATTTAGCAGGCCTTGGAACTGTAAGAACGGTCAGGCTTTGTTGTTGAAAGCCAGTGGGAAATAACTAACGCTCCAAAGTGCAACTTGCGCTGGTTGCAGAAGCCACTCCTTTCCTATGTCTCTTTATCTCCTTGAGGAGAACTGAACACACACACACACACACACACACACATACACACACTCACGCACGCACGCACACGCGCCCCATCTGCTTCAACTCTGCAGAGTTGGCACAGCTGCACCCTTATCTTCTGTATCAGCATCCCAGACCTTTTACTGCTGACAAAAGAGAAATATTTACGCAAGGAGGCTGTGGGAACGCAGCATTCTTGCTGGCACGTTCTCTCATGCCTTGTTTGGAGTCACAAATAAATAACGGCATGGATGGCTTATCTGTATCATTTAGGCAATGGCTAAAAACATGAAGCTCTCTTGATGGAAAGGTCAGACCCTGGGCTGCTATTCATAGCTGACATGGTGAAGTGGAGAGTTTAATCCAATAAACTTGTTATATTTCCAGGCCCCCACCCCCAGCTGTGAGTGCTGGTGCTGGGCGGATTACTCAAAGTGAATGTGTTGCTTAGCAGCTGGCATTAATTGGTATAGCTGCCTTAATGGCAGCTATATTTACGTTATTTCAGATCAGCGGAGATTGCTGCCTGGTTAAGACAGATTTTGTATTTCTTCTCAGTCTGACTTTGTAGCCCTTAGGGCTTTTATGTAAATGATCACTTAAAGGTGCTTAAGGAGACCTGATCATTAAAAAGTTCTGAAAATTCATCTTTGAAAAGTTGAAACCCTTTCAAGTGTCTGTAGTCTGAATGCCAAAAAGAAAGAATAAGCAATCATTTTGGAAAATGTGTCTGAGGCCTTTTCTCCCTATCCTATCAATGGAGGGTTGTGGTTTCTGGAAATCTATTTTTTATGCAAAGTTTACTCTGTAGAGTCATTGCTGTCTCTTGAAACTTGACTGCTGCTACTGCTGCAGTTGTTAAATAAATCATGAAACGTTATTCTTGTTGTCTTTATTGCATGCGCTTATGAATTTGGCCCCGGTGAACACTATGGGATGCCTGGAGTCTTGGAAAAATTGAGGACTCTGGCGTCCATGGAGGGGGAATCACATGAGCAGTCACTCCAATGTCCTTTCTAGATGACCAGAAAGAGGGTGAGTTTCATGGTATTCACTGCTCATATTTAAAATATATATATATATAGTCTGCTTTTACCAGTCTTTGCGTAAGAGCGATTTTAATTAGGGAGCTCCTTACTAATTGAACATATAGGGAGGCTCGAATTTGTAATGAGTTGGATGTCGAGGTCGCCACAGCTTGTCATTCCAGTGGCACTTTTGAAGTCAGGACATATCTATACCATGAACGTACAGTTACCTGAGCCACTTGTAAGAGTCTGAGCTCTCAAACTGGCCCAGAGTACTGCTCCACAGTCAGTCACGATGGCTCCAGGAGCAACATAACTACACTGGCATGGCATGACATGAATGTGGCCCCAGGGCTTCTAGGTCCAGCTTTGCTAGTCCACACAGTGCCAGGCTGTGATGACTGGGCCTCGGTGGGCTTGGTGATCTCTGCATCATTATGGTATAGACATGTGCTAGCAGCGTAATTCAGCATTTACTGAATCCAGTAGGAGACTTTCCATTAATTTCAACAGGAAAACTGTAGGGTCCCATGGCGGAAGATTACACAATACTGCCGAGAAGCTCTACTATTCTACCTTATTCCCTGCTGTTTTTAAGAAGGATCCAGAAGGCTGTGATTTTTCCAAAGAAACATATTTTTTACTGGTAGATACCAAAACCTGTCTAAAGCAAGTGTTTTAGTGACTCTGCAATACTTGTTCGAAACTTGCCATGGAGGGAAAAAAAGAATGCTTCTGAGGTTAGGATGAATTTTCAGATGAGAGCAAGAGCAGATTAGATTACTACTGTCAGCCAGTAGCTAGTGATCAAGGACCCCACCTAGGCCTTGGAGACATAGGATGAAATCTCACCCCATCTTTCACAGCCTTGCTGGGTGTTTTGGGCAGACTGTGATGATAACGCAGGGATGAGTCTCTATTGCCTCAAGGTTTCATTCAGTGGAAACAATCTGGGATTTGTTAGAAAAGGGGCTTGAACATGGGTGTCATGCAACTGAAGAGTATCTTCTGTTGCCTCCATTTGGCGGTTTGCAGATTGATGTCGGAAAGGAACATTTTCTTGAACTCTGCCATCTCTTTGCTTCCTGTCCGTACAGCGTGACGGTCTCTGCCACTCTGGGAAAAATCTGTTTGTGCAAAGGGACGTGCGGAGCGTGTACATGCTCTGTGTGCTCGAGATTGATGTGGCGATGTTTTGCTGTGCCCAGCAGACATCAATGGTCAGTGATCCCAGGGCAAAGCAGCTGCACTGCTCCCTTTGTACTGCATTATGACACTTTAAATGCTTAGCAAAAGATTAGAAAAGGTTTTCCTTGGAACTCCTCTCCCCATATCGAAAACACTTTTGTCTTTACCTTTAGCCTCATTAGGTCTTTTGAGTCCACTTGTTTCAAGACAGCTAGTTAACAAAAATCCTTAATAGGCATAGAATTGGATGGCTGGATAAGAATACTGTAAACATGTTGCCAATAGACTTCATCCTTGGCCTCATTAACGATTGAGAAACCTGCATGAATTCCTTCCTGTCCAAAGTCTAGGAAGAGCGGAGTGGAACGAGGAAGGAAAGAGTCTGGTAACAGCCTGGTCACTGGGGCATCGACTGCCGCTGATGTGCTTAGCAATGCTATCTCGCTGTTTTAGTGCCTTCTCTTAGACTTTGGCAGCGTGCTCTTTAGGTTAAGGGCTGACTTTTTGTCCTATGTGTCCTACATGTGCTCCAGGACTAAGGGCAGACTGACGTTATCATTATGGAAATAATAATAATAACTAAAACAATGATAATAACAACTATAATGCTGATATGTTCATGATAATAAAGACAAGATATTTTGCCTGCCTGGCAATCAAATCATTGTGGGAGCTGATGAATCTACTCTCTAGACCTGTTTATATCTAATTCAGACTCAGACCCAGCTAGGGGACAGCTTGCATCCTGGATAGAACTAGAACAATAAGAGAGAAATATTTGGTGTTTGTTGGGAGGGGTTTGAGCATGGGAAATTTGATTAACTACAGAAGCCTGAAAAGACGACAACAGGGCAAATCCACTTTATTGTGTCAGTACTAATCTCTGAGTGCAACTTCCCTTGTCGTTAAGGAAGACTTCTAAGGTGGTCATTTTCAGCCCGTCTAGTCAATGGCAAGAGTGTTCCTGTGGACAGTTGCCTTCAGAAGGCAATCATTTCTCTTAAATACCTCTTCAAGGACGGATGTAATTACTCTCCAGAAATGCCTGGCTCTCTT